AGGGCTAAGGCTGCCACGGACAGTTGCCCAATTAACTGTTTCCTTAGTGTGGGATATCCGAACCATGTACACATTCATTCATCCATCCATCCATTCATCCATCCATCCATCCACACACCCATTCATCCATCCATCCCTCCATCCATCCAGTCATCCATCCATCCATCCATCCACCCACCCATCCCTCCACCCACCCACCCATCCATCCACACACCCATTCATCCATCCATCTACCCACCCACCCACCCATCCATCCATCCATCCATCCATTCATCCATCCACCCACCCATTCATCCATCCATCCATCCACCCATCCATCCATCCATCCACCCATCCATCCATCCACCCACCCATCCATTCATCCATCCACCCACCCACCCGCCCACCCATCCATCCATCCATCCATCCACCCACCCATTCATCCATCCATCCATTCATCCATCCATCCACCCACCCACCCATCCATCCATCCATCCACCCATTCATCCATCCATCCATCCATCCATCCACCCACCCACCCATCCATCCATCCATCCATCTATTCATCCATCCATCCATCTATCTATCCACCCACCCATCCATCCATCCACCCATCCACGCATCCATCCATCCATTCATTCATCCATCCACCCACCCATCCATCCATCCATCCATTCATTCATCCATCTACCCACCCATTCATCCATCCATCCATCCATCCATCCATCCACCCACCCATCCATCCGTCCATCTATTCATCCATCCATCCATTCATCCATCCACCCACCCATCCATCCATCCATCCACCCATCCATCCATCCATCCATCCATTCATTCATCCATCCACCCACCCATCCCTCCACCCACCCACCCACCCATCCATCCATCCACACACCCATTCATCCATCCATCCCTCCACCCACCCATCCCTCCACCCACCCACCCATCCATCCATCCATCCACCCATCCATCCATCCATCCACCCATCCATCCATCCATCCATCCATCCACCCATCCATCCATCCATCCATCCATCCATCCATCCATCCATTCATTCATCCATCCACCCACCCATCCCTCCACCCACCCACCCATCCATCCACCCACCCATTCATCCATCCACCCACCCATTCATCCATCCATCCATTCATCCATCTATCTATCCACACACCCATCCATCCATCCACCCATCCATCCATCCATCCACCCATCCATCCATCCATCCATCCACCCATCCATCCATCCATCCATCCATCCACCCATCCATCCATCCACCCACCCATCCATTCATCCATCCACCCACCCATTCATCCATCCATCCATTCATCCATCCATCCATCCACACACCCATTCATCCATCCATCCCTCCATCCATCCAGTCATCCATCCATCCATCCATCCACCCACCCATCCCTCCACCCACCCACCCATCCATCCACACACCCATTCATCCATCCATCTACCCACCCACCCACCCATCCATCCATCCATCCATCCATTCATCCATCCACCCACCCATTCATCCATCCATCCATCCACCCATCCATCCATCCATCCACCCATCCATCCATCCACCCACCCATCCATTCATCCATCCACCCACCCACCCGCCCACCCATCCATCCATCCATCCATCCACCCACCCATTCATCCATCCATCCATTCATCCATCCATCCACCCACCCACCCATCCATCCATCCATCCACCCATTCATCCATCCATCCACCCACCCATTCATCCATCCATCCATTCATTCATCCATCCATCCACCCACCCATTCATCCATCCATTCATCCATCCATCTATCCACCCACCCATCCATCCATCCACCCATCCACCCATCCATCCATTCATCCATCCATCCATCCACCCACCCATTCATCCATCCACCCACCCATTCATCCATCCATCTATCCACCCATCTATCCATTCATCCATCCATCCACCCATTCATCCATCCATCCATCCATCCACCCATTCATCCATCCATACATTCATCCGCTCACAAGTTACGAGTGCCTCCTTTTTGCTGGATGCTGCCCTAGACACCGGGTCACTGTGACCCCCAGGAGCAGCTCATCCCTCACTTCTGGCCCCTAGACTGGCAACACAGTCATGGAAACAAAGCTCCCGCCTTGGAGGCGTGAGGCAGTCCCGGCGACAGTGGGTGCTTCTCTTGGAGGCACCTCCTCGGGGCTGGGGTGTCCACTCACACATTCTGGGGGCTTCTGGAACAGTTAGAGGTCCAAAGCCTCTGGCAGCGGAGCCACCCTTGTGCCCTGCAGTCCCTTCTCTGAGGCATGGGCTTCATCTGGTCCAGTCAGCACCACCCCCTCGCCCCCAAGGCTGACCTTTCCAGAGGTGTAAGTTGTCAACAATCTGTTACCGAGTTCACACAGCTTTTTGGCAGGCCACTATGTTCTGTCCTCTTCTAGAGAGAAGTCAGACCAAATTTGTCCTGGCCTAGACTGATGGAGGAGGCTGAGATGATTTTTCTATGGTGTGACAGTCAGGCTGTGGTGGAGGGTGATCATGGATGCCATCAGCCCAGAGAGTAACTGCCTCCTGAGGGCACTGATAAAAGCTGCTCAAAAAGACAGCATCCAGAACAATCCAGAGTTCCCCAGACAGACACACAAAGAGAGGGCCACCAGGCAGAGGAAACAGCGTGCACTAAGCACAGAAGCAAAGAGAGGGCGTGATTCCAAAAATGGGGAATTGGAAAGAGTCTCGACACAATTAGCATGGTGGGGGGGGGGGTCCTAAGCAAGGAGGAAGGGGTTCTGGCTGCAGCAAGAGTGGGTGGGGGTATTGTAGACAAGAGTCAGGGACACCCAGGAGGAGGGTGCTGCAACAGCTCAGGCCAGAGGCAGAGGGTGACTGAAGCCGTGATAACAAGAGGAACAACGCCCTAGTGTAAAAGTCACGAGACTTTAGGGTTGCACTGGCTTTAAGAAAGGAGGGGTGGGGTCTGTTAAGCCTTGTCAATTTTTAAACATCAGTGAATGAGGGGGGTGGCAACTACGGAAGTTAGAGATAACCAGGGGAAGGGGGGAGATCTGATCTAGGGTGCAGGAGGAGAGAGAACGGCTGGGCAGGGAAGGGCTCTTCTGGGTACCACGGACAGCTCCAGGAGGCTCCAAAGGCCTCCGGGCAAAAAAAACAAGCAAGGACAACAAAACCACCACTGGCTCTTGACGCTGGCTGCCTTCGAATCAGCAGGGGAGCAGTTTCAACAATCACCCCCACAGGCTCAAACAATTGTTCTGTGTCACAGACTCTGGGAGAGGGGCTCGGGACTCTGCTTCATAAGTGAGTGCCCTAAGTCCCTAACGTCCATGGCTGCTACAAAGGAGGCCCTGTGCTCTTGAAGCTATGGGTGGGCTTGGAGGCACCTTATTTACCCACTGAAATTCCTGTCCAAGGAAATGAGACTTGTGGAGAAATGGGAGAAGGGGCCACCTTGCTCCAGAACCCTTAAAACTAAGTGAGGTAGAATTCACCCAAGTGCTGTCATGGCCAATGGTCAGTGTAGGCTGCTGTTACAACTTTCTGACTCCATATCCTGAAACCTCAAGTCAACCCAAACGTGGCTCCCTAAGGTCGGAGAGGGGGAGAATCCTTCTAGATTGACTTTACAATTTTACCACAACCTTAGTTGGGTATAGTGGCCCACACCTTTAATCCCAGCACTCAGGAGGCAGAGGTAGTCTGATCCCTGTGAGATTGGGACCAGGTGGCCTGCATAGCAAGTTCTGGGACAGCCAGGGCTACATAAAGAGACCATATCCTCAAAAAAAAATTACGGCAGCCATGAAAAATTGAAAACAGGGTTCAAATAAATTCTTGTACACGAATATGAATGACACCATTAGTGACAAGAGTCAAGGGATTAAAATAACCCTAAAGTCCACAGACAGGTGTACAGAAGATAACTGTGTATGCACACACGGTATTTGTAAGCTTTAAGATAAAATGAAATTCTGGCCCCTGCTGTGGTATGAAGACCTTGAGAAGCCAAATGAGACTAACATAAGAGGCATCCAGTAGTTAAGATTCATCAAGGGGGAAGATGTGGTAGCCAGGGCTGGGAGCAGAGCGGGGAGCCCAGGAGTTAGTTCATGGGCGTGCCTTCAATATGGAAAGTTCTGGAGCCCCGCAGTAGTGATGGTGTGCACAGGAATATGAACGTACCCAGTGTCACTGGACTGCATTAAAAACTAAAATCAGGGCCAGAGAGATGGCTCAGAGGTAGTGCACTGACTGCCATTCCAGAAGACCTGGGTTCAATTAGCACCACATGGCAACCCAAAGCCATCTGTAACTCGGGTTTCAGGGAATCTGATGCTTTCTTCTGGCCTCCTGAGGCAGCAGGAGCACACAAGGTACACATGCATACATGCCGGCAAACACTTATACACATAAAATAATTAAAAGGTAATTATATATATACATATTATATACATAAATTATAAATTATATGTATTTAAAAATTTGTCGATGTCCCCTACGCATCTGGGAATCTGTAAGGCTTCTTTATTCCGTAGGAGATACCTGAAAACCGACAAAGGTGGCCTTCCGCCTCAGTTTGAGGCTCAAGGAAAAGGGATGGACGGATGGATGGATGGACGGATGGATGTGGGCTTGGAGTTACCCCAGTGTATGTAGGGCTAGGGAAACTGAGTCTCGTGTTTGCGAACAGGGGAGCGGGGCAGGAACTGCCATCCTCCACCTCACTCTCAGCGGCCCTCGGGCTGCGACCGCAGGAGTTAGGCGGCTCGCTGCCCTCTTCCAAGATGGCCGCCGCCGCCGCCTCTGTGACAGGCCTGGTCACGTGGGCGCGCTCTCTTGTGAGGTCGCGGTGCCCGGGGCGATTGTCCCTTCCCGGGCCCCGTCCCGACTAGCCCTGTCAACCGGAGCCTGAGCGATCATGGCAACGGGCTCGGGCGGGGAGCGCGTGGCGGCGGCGGCGGCGGCGGCGGCGACGGCGGCGACGGCGGCGGCGGAGTGGTCGCGGGCCGGGGCGGCGGAGCGGCGGCGGCGGCGGCGGCGGTGGCTGTGGCGCCGGCACCGGCCCTGAGCGCCATGCTGCGCGGCAGCCCGGAGCGGGAGCTGGCGGCCAGCTGGGAGGCGGACGCGGCGGCGGCGGCGGCGGCCAAGTCGCAGGCCGCCGAGGCGGAGGAGCAGCTGGGCGTGGACGCGGGCGCGGCCGGGGAGCCCGAGCGCCCGGCGCGGGAGGAGCAGCCCAAGGCCGCGGGCCCGGCTCCGGTCCCGGCGCGACCCCGCGCGGCCGAGGAAGGCGATGCCCGCCCCGCCCGGCGGCCGCCGCCCGCGCCGCCCCTGATCCCCCCGAGGCCGGCGCGGACCCTGTGCCACCTCGTGAAGGCCCGGAGTCGCGGCCGCGGCTACCGGCGCGGCTCGGGCTCGCTGCGGCCGGTCACCGTGGACAGCTCCAAGGCCCGCACGTCCCTGGACGCGCTGAAGATCAGCCTTCGGCAGCTCAGGTGGAAGGAGGTGAGGCCCGGCCCGCCGCGTGGGCACACGGGGGGTCGTCCTTCCCCGCCCCGGTCCCCGAGCCGTCCCCCGGGTCGCGTCGGCCCCGCCTTGCCCTGGCTCCCCGACCGCGAGCGCCTAATGCCCTGGCCTGCGCGTGGTGTATGTCTGTCTTCCCCGCTGGTGACTTTCAGGCTCTTCTTTTAAGTTCTGTTTAGAGTTTCGTAAACTTCAGTGCTTAGAGTTCCACTCGCGGGCCGGGGTTGGACTCACTCGACGGCGCCTCGCTACACACACCCTGCTGCTTTAGCTGTGCGACCTTGAGTAAACCTGCTTTGCTCTTTTTGGCCGGTTAGCTTCTGTAAAGTGACCAGCTAGTGACTGACTGTCAGGGGGCTTACTGCCTAGTGATCGCCCGGGTCTTCAGTAAATGACAACCAACTTTTGTCATTCTCCCTTCCGCCACCGCCACCACAGCCACTGTTGTATGATTCAGGGCGCATAGCAGGTGTCAGTAAGTGTTGGATGAAAGCTCACCCTTGCATTCATTCCTGCCTTTTTAAGGTGTGGGGCAAAGCACCAATGAATCCCAGAGGTTTTCGTTGCCGTCGGCTGAGTAAATAAAGCCGCTCGGCTTGGAAGATACTGGCGAGCTTTTGGGGAGTGGGGCTTTACAGGGAGCACGAGGTCGGTGCTGAGGCTGTGGTAGGTTACTGAAGTTGGGAACTGGAGAGACAACCCCAGGAAGGTCCACTGTGGTCAGAGGTCCCAGTGGAAAAGAGGTTGGTTGGAGGGAAACCAAGAAGGGGAGGCTAGCTCCTGGAGAGCTCCCGGGTGTCTGAACACCTCAGTCTTGACTTTCACACCCTGGAAACTGCAGAGGATTGGGAAGACTCAGTTCTTCAGTGTCTGGGTTTGCAGGTGAAGTCCCATGTCCAGTCCAAAGAGAGGAGGGCCAGGAAGGCAAACCTGGACTTGTCAGTGTGCTGTCAAGGGAAGAGTCCCTGCATAGACACCGGCTAAGCACTCAGCCAACCCAGCAGAGGCTCATTCACTTATTTTATAAACATCCACTGTGGGGACACCAAGTTCAGTGCTGGGCCCGGGCGATCACACTATGGTGTGTTGAGCTGCGCCCTTGCCTTCCGGCGTTCATAGTTCAGTAGGGAATGAAATGCCCTAAGTCCCAGCATCCACAGGACTGCCGCTGCCGCCACTGCTGCTGCTGTGAACTCCTTTCCTAGCTATTTGCATGGCTTGCTCTGGCCTCTCGAGGCCTCTGATCGGATGCCACACCCTGAGAGAGGTCTCCCAGGCACTGGCATCCCTAGCCCCGACTGTTTGATGCCGTGAACCTCCCTGACATTGTGTTCTGTTTGCTTATTGCTCGTTTTGTTCACCAGAATGTAAGCTCTTAAAGGGCAGGCATTTTGTTTTGTTACTACTGTACTCAAAGGTGTCTTGCATATGGAAGCTGCCCAATAAATATTTGTTGAAAGCATGAACACATTATGTGATGAGTGTTTCTGTGTGCTGTGGGAGGCAGAGCAGGCCAGCTCCAGCACAGCTTCCTGGGGGAGTGAAGCCCAGTGAGTCTTAGTGTTGACGGTGGGCCAGTTGTTCAGCTGTGTGGATGGGATCTTGGTAGGGGGAGCTGTGTGGGCCAGCAGGGGTGCACTTGCTGCTTGTATGCAGCACTGTTTGACTGGATCAGAGAGGCAGTCAGACGGTGAGAGGAGGCAGTAGACGTGAGCTGGAGTCAAGGCCTGTGATGGCACTTGGGCCTGAGCTTGAAAAGAAGCCTTTCGAGCCATTGCGGAAGTCTGAGGCTTCAGTCCATCAAGTGAAAGTCTTGAGGCCTCAGTTTGGCCGTTTGCACAATGGGACTAGGTAGCGCTCCCAGTCTTCCACTAGCCACAGGGTGCCAGTGTTAAACCCTTGCACTAGTGACCCCAGGAGAGTGGACACTTTCCAGGACCCTCCCTTGACTGCCCCTCCATCCCAGGCCTGCCTTCTGACACTTGTAAGACATGTTGGCATGTAGGTAAAGATGCTCGTTCTAGCATATTTGAACATAATTCAGTCACACACGCACACACACACACACTTCACTGTGACTTAGTGATTTACTTAGCACCACCCTTCCTAAGGGCAGGGTGGCATTTGACTTGTGTCCCTGGTGTTCTGTTCAAGAGATACCCAGCACAACACGTATGTCATCGGATGCAATAGAATGTGGGTTTGAAAATACCATACTATAGAACCCTTAAAGACCCGGCTGAATTCACATTATGGTTGTGGGCTCCTTAGCATCTAAGACAAACCTGAACGCATGACACGTAATATAGAGATGAACTTGGTACTAACAAGGCACAGACGCACAGCCTCTGTAGGCCCGAGTTTCCATGCGACATGGAGCAGTGATGGACAGGTCCTCTCAAACTTGACGAGAGCCTCTGGGTGGGGCGGGGGTGACTGGCAGCATTGTACCTGCAGGTTAGCTGTGCTGCTGAGGACTGTGCACAGGAGTGCTGCTGGCTGGCTTTGGTGGAGGTGAGTGACTGGCCCAGGAAAGAAAGTCATGGCACCTGCTTCTCATACAGGGACTTGGGAGGCCAAGACTGGAGGGTCACAAGTTCAAGGCCAGCCTGGGCTATACTGCAAGACTTTGTTTCAGAAAACAGAACAAATAAATGAAGGAAAGCCATGACTGCCAACCAGGGTGAATGCTCCCTCTTTCTTTGCGGGTGTGTAGCAAGAACCTTCCCTCCGTGGTCCACTTCACAGGTTCGTGAGTTAGCCTGTACATCCAGAAATGTGCTCAGCTACTGGGAACACTTTCCCTTCCCTTTTTGGCTTCTTTTTAATTCCACATGTATCTAAAAACCACCATGATGCCCACAATAATGAACCCTTATGCAGCTATTACTCTACCAGACAAGTATTTAAACTTCCTAACCACTCACTACAAGTAGTGCATTATTGTACCCATTTTCTAGATGGGAAAACTGAAGTCATACATGCTACCTTATGCAGGGTCATATAATGAGTTGGGAGCAGAGCTAGCATTTGAGGTAAACAGGCTTTAGTTTTCTGCTCATCTGAAGACGCAGCAGTGGATATGAATAGACTAGGCTCCTTGTTGTATAAGAGCTCTCACTGAACAGGCACTGAGCTGCCAGGCAGATGGTCACAATCTTGTCTGAGGTCTGAGTGGGCAAAGGGAATCCCACACAGTGGGCTCAAGGCAGGGAGGCAGGGCCAAGTTTCAGGCACAGCAGTGGCATGTTGGTGGCTTAGGGAGCATGTGGACAGCAGAGAGATGCGGAAAGGACCAGTTCAGAGAGCCAGCTGCAGGCCGTGCCGAGAAGCTGCCCTCCTGTCTGCTGCCCTGCAGCTCCCCTGGCCCACTGTGCCTCGTGTGACTCTGATGGCTCAGTTTTCAGTTCTGGGCAGGTCTAATTCACCTGTGTCCACGGTCAGTTTGTTTCTGCAAGAGCAAATTCGCAGGTGCAGCTCTGTAAATTTGCAGATGTGAATAAAGCTATTCTCATCTAGCAAGTCACATGTCCCCAAATCACGGGGCTCACATCTGGAGGCTCCCTAGAAAATTCTCTTCCCATCTCCTACATGCTTTTTTTTTTTAACTTGCCACCTTCATTAAAGGGGGCCTTGGAGAAAAGAGACCACAGAGAATAGATGCCTTGAGTGTGTGAACTTCTTCCTTGGAGACGTCAGTTGTGTCTGGGTGTCATGATACGATGGGCACCAGGTAAACATGGCTGGGGCTCTGAGAGATTTGCAGTAGGTCATTTGCTGACAATGGTTTGCACAGTCCCTGTCCTAAGAGCTGTCAGACACTCTAGTGTGTCTTCTGAAATATGCCAGCTTTCTGCACAGGCACAATACTGCATTGCCTTCCCGTTTGTGTCATGTGAGGTGTTATTTATTAGGTGGCATGTGCTAGGTATGGCACCAAGCTCTTAGTGCTCATTAAAAGCAGATTAAGGGGCTGGAGAGATGGCTCAGCACTTTAGAGCCCTGGCTGTTCTTCCAGAGGACCCAGGTTCAGTTCCCAGCACCCACATGGAGGCTCACCACTGTAATTCCAGTTCCAGTAGATCCCATGCCTTCTTCTCACCCCTGTCAGCACTGCATGACCATGGTGTGCAGATATACATGAGGCAAAACACCCACACACATAGAAATAGATTTTTTTAAAAGAGTGGTTCAAGGGGCTGGCATAATGGCTTAGTAGCGGTGCTTGCCTTCAGGCCTGGTGACCTGGAGTTTGAATCCTGGGGCCCATATAGTAGAAGATGAGAACTTACTATTGACCCCCCCCATAAGTTATCCTGTTTTCAACAGGCACACCCTGGCACATGTACAGACATGTGCACGCGAGCGAGCGCGCGCACGCACGCACACTGAACAAATAAGGGTTGGAGAGATAGCTCAGCAGAGGACCTGGGTTTGATTCCCAGCATCCACATAGTGGCTCACAACTGTTTACAACTCCAGTTCCCAGGGATCTGGTGCCCTCTGCTGGCTTTCATGGGCACTGGGCACACAGTAGTGCACATACATACATGTGGGCAAAACACCCATACACACGGAATAATAAAACAATTGAAATGAGTAACTGTAGTGAAACATTTACAAAACCAAGTGGATGGATCACTTTCCTTGGGTTCTCTTATTTCTTCCTCACACTAATCTCAGGCAGATGCTGACATCATTTCCTGTTTAGAGAAGAGAGAACCAAGGTTTGAGAGAGATGATACCAAAGCTACATAGGTGACAAGTGGCAGAGCCATTCAGGAATAGAATTTGTCACCAGTGTACAATCCTAAACCATCTTTAGTGTTATCCTTTGTTAAAAGTCATCCTGCAAGGGGCTCGGCCATCACCACCACTACCCCCAGCTAATGGTTGGAAAAAGCGAGGCAGGCGCCGCACCTAACCAAGACAGGCAGCTTTGAACAGTGGTGTTCCTGAGCTCCTTCTGCGGGGGCTCCATG